TGCCGTAGTTAGCAACGATGCTTTTGGGAAACGCACCCCCTGGCTGACAGGCGCTCTGTCACACTGCAACACCGTCATCACGACAAACCACACATGCGTTCTGTCAATCTGAGGCCCCTGGTCTGTGTTGATGCCACCCTTCTACATTGCCTGCCCCTGCACTAACAAACAGGATAGCAATGTTCATGTTATTGAACACTGATTCCCTAAATAACAAACTGCACTACTTGCACGTTACATCATTATTGACAGGGAAAATATGGCAAAATCAGCAGGATTTCATGACACTCAACCAAGCCACTCCCTTGGGTATTTGTACAAACAGAAGCCTCGCTCCATGGGCCGTGGTGGTGGGCTGGCTGTGATACATTGAGCTGACATCCCAGTGAAAAAAAATTCCAGTGCCTAACGTCACCTCATTCGACTGTCTTCTTTTTACATTGGCTGGGTCTACACAGCTCCAGGTGGTCCTTGTATACCACCCCCCAAAAACCTCCGCTATCAGAGTTACTCATCTCCAGCTGCTCCATGTCTCCATCCACACTCCTGCTCAGGGACTTCAATATCTATGTGGACTCAAACAGCTGTCCCTTTGCCACTAAATTCCTGTCACTATTGGACTATCATTCAGCATGTCAAAGGTCACACACTGGATCTGGTGTGTTCCACTGGTACCACCACCTCCCAGCTGCAATGCATCGACCTAGCTGTATCTGACCACAGCGCCATCCTTTTCTATGTTCCTGTCCTTCTGCCTAAGCAACAACTCAAACAATACATCACATTCAGGAACATCAAGTCTGTTAATGCATCAACCCTGGCTAACACCGTAGTGACCCACCTGGCCCCAGTTACCCCCAATTCCTGGGTGGATGGTCTAGTCGACCCTATAATACAGCTGGGTATTCTTGCCCCCTTCAAGACAGATTGTCTCCTTCTTGCACTCTTTCCATTGCTTTCTTAAAAACTGCGAAATATTTTCTTTTAAGCAGCAAAGTGGGGAGGAAAATAGTTAAAGTGTAGTGACAGAGCTCAGAGTAGGAGTATTCTCATATTCTTGTATATATTATATAACATCCAGCACTGACTAGCATGCAGCCTAGCTCAGTGGTGGTTTGCTTAAAATAGAAAGCTCTTCTTAAAAATATTGCTACAGTGGCCTTTAAGGAACTGCAGTCACTATCTTGCAGTGCACACTTACTCCCGAGGCAGGTCTGCCTTGGGAGGACAAAATGCTTTTGGGTTCCAAAAACGTTGCATTATTTCTCATCGGTTAGCTGTGGCTGTGTACCTGTCAGGCAGAATGTGGCCGCTCAACTTTTATACACTTATGAAGATTTCACCAAGCATATCTCTGATGTGTATTTACGGAGAGGGATATTAATTTTGCCATCTCAAATAACATCTTACAGGAAATCTATTTTTAAATTGACATTATTTTCATTTTCATGCATTATGGATGTAAATGTCTAACAGATGAATCCTCCCCCATGCAGTGGTCATGTTGTGAATTTCAGCATCAAAGAGGCCTTTCTTTTCTCCCCAAATTCCAAGGTTACTGCTCCACTATGTGACCCACATTCTAAATACTTCAAACAAAAATGGCTTATGTCAAAGATCAGATACATTCTCAGAGCTCTGCACTGGGGAATAAACATAAACTATTGCTGTTTATGAAACCTCACTACCACTAAGTACGTAAAAGTAGGAACCAAATGCTAGCTTTCTAATACTGGAGAAATTTACTTACACTGCCATTGTCTCACTGTTTCTCTCCTGCTGTTTTGCTGCCAATAATTAATGCAGTAAGGACATTATGCACTTCTACAGGAGGTGAAAATGAGACCACTCAGTCTCATTAAAGATGTATATTTACCTTTAATTAGGAGGTGTACATTTGCAAGTACAACATCCTCTCTTGTTCTGATTTTACAGTGCACCTGTTTTCAGTAGTTGTATGGAGAGCTGCTGACTGGGTTGAAGCAAATATACTGTCAACACTCCTCACAGGGACCCTCCATTAGGCTGTCTCTTTCAGCAGTGCACAGCCCTGAGGCTATGAAGCATTTTGCTCTCTTACTGCCGCACACATCCTCTCCTCCTTTGTCCATCTAAAGAAAACAGTCCCTTCACCTTCTACAGTCTGTCTCTGTCTTTTTATTGCTCTAGCTTTCTTTTTTTCCCCAGGAACAAAATTCTAGCCTGTCTTATTGTGATGCCAATAACACCAGAATGTATTAGTATAGCAGAAGAGCCGATACCATCAACCAAATATCATTACAATGGTTAGAACCTGGTGGCAGTATTGTATTTATCTACGTCTTGGTGAAATATTCAAAAAGTGCCATTTGTTCAGGGCATGCTGGGATAAGCAAAATAAATGAAAAAGTGCAGGCTGCCTCATAACTGAGAGCAGTGGTTCCCAACCTGACGGTCAGGACGACCACATGGGGTCACAAGAAACAGATTACGCAGCAGAGAAAGCACAATTTTGCCATTCAAAATTGTGTGTACTTTTTCAGACTTTCATTTTTTCTTTTTTTTAATTACTAGATTTTTTTTATCTTCAGGCCCATAGAAATAGATTTAGAGATTTAAATAAAACAAACTTTTTTTTTGTTGTTGAACTGGTCATAACAAAATGTTCTAAATGGTTTTGCCAACTATGTTTTGGAGTTAATTGATTGTGCAACTTTTTTTTCCAGTCTAAGATGTGCAATGTTCTTGTACTGCACAACAGTCTCAGGGAGGTGGATGTTGTGCACGGATGGTATGGACTGCCACGTCGAAGCCAGAAGTTCGGCCGATAGGCTGCCGCCATGTTGATTTTTTGCAACCAGTCATACCGGACATACCCATATTTGGATGAGACGGCAGTGGTAGCAAGCTTGGTTAGCTAGCTGCAGCTGTAATTCACATTAACTGTGATTTTGTCCGGGATGCTAATTTTGGCTATCTAAAAACAGCTAAAAACAAACAAAACATACTTGTCGGGAAAATGAACAGCCGACTCCTAATAAGCTTGTTAAACAGCACTGGTTAAATTTACACAGTGCCGTGGACACATTCACTTGCACAACAGGGTAGTACCGCCCTAAAGCAAATGCTGCTTTATCGTGTATTTTTTACCTAAATGGGACCATAATTTCCTAAATGAATATCATGCTGTACTGAAGAAGACAAGAAACTAATGATTAAGACCATAAACTCATTAGGAAAGTGTAGGATTTAATCAGGTGAGAAGTAACGTCATTTTACCATTATTTCTAATGGAACTGGACTTCTTTTTGCAACCAGAGGAGCTTCCCCCTGCTGGCCATTAGACAGAATGCAGGTTTAAGTCTCTTCCGCATGGCTTCAAAATTCAGACCAGGAGGTTCCCACTTGATTACATTCCAATAGTGTCTGTGGCATCCTGCTTTGTGCTGCTTTATTAGCTGCTTCATTCTGTGCACTACTTTGCACTAGTTGTTTGCTCTTGTTTGTTTTGTATATTTTGTCCACGGAGCACTACATGTTACTTTCTATTGATGTTTTTCATCACCTGCTGATGTGTGTGTTGTGTTTGTCCCACATTATTCATAGGGGTGGGGAGTCTAGCATTTACTCTCTCTCTCTGTCATGGGGTTCAATCCTCAGCACTCTGTCTGTTACCCCCAAGCCAACACACGTATTGTATCATATGGAGTATGGTAAGGAGGTACCGTGTGGAATAAATCACAAGTTGAAGCAACAGCTAACAATGTTGACCTCTCCAACTGCAGGACATAACTGATGGCACTGAACTGGGATAGGTCATTTAAGGACTTGTTCCTCAGCCTTCCACACTACTCTATCATGCTGCCATTCTTGTTTTCTTTATACACTGACAACATGTAACACACATTAATAATTGCACACATGCTGTTATTTGTCTTAAAACATTTCACTGGATTATTGTAAGATCTTACTTTTTTGTTGTATCCTGCGAGCCGGGCATAATAAATTGGGGGCTTGTCCAGCCTACACTGTGATTGTGATTGAAGTAAATGCAAGAAAATAGTAGTGGAAGCCATGACCTTAAAAGGGGTGGAAGTAGATCTAAATGACACAATACTTTAAGGTAATTAGAGAGCTTATGTGCTGTTACATGGTTATAAAGCACATTTACAGCCTCAAAAATCGATAATGTTCAGGTTGAAAGCACCTTCATCTTGGCTGTTTATCAAAACGCTGTGTACGCTGTACACCCATGACTGCATCCCTCGATATCGAGAGAACTCTGTTGTGAAGTTTGCAGACGACATTTCCATCATCGGTCAGATTTCAAATGAGACTTCATATTGGGAGGAAATCAATAATCTGTGCGCAGAGAACAACCTACTGCTCAATGTCAGCAAAACCAAGGAGCTGATTGTTGAAAACAGACAAAGACACACACTCCTGTCTACGTCAGTGGAGCTGAGGTGGAGTAGGTGAACATTTTAAGGTTCCTGGGAATCAGCATCACAGAGAACCTGACATGGTCATCTCACATCTCCATGCTGGTGAAGAAAGCTCAGAAATAGCTGTATTTCTTAAGAAAACTTAAGAAGGCTAAATTCCTGTGCCAAGTTCTTGTCAAATTTTACTGCACTGCTACATAAAATATAGTTTATTTAACATTTTGTGATTGTTACCACTGTTTGTAATACTGATTGCTTTGCAGCAGAAGGGAACTACAAACTTCACACAACCCTGTTATAATATTATGATTAAATTTACCTTGTGCCTTGTAATATTATTATGCCCAGCACTCAGCAACTGTTACAGTCAGTGGTACCGCTCTCCTTTCCTTAGTGTTTCTGCTGTGTTTCTCCCCCTCCTTGGTGTTTCTGTTTTGTTTTCCCCTTTCTGTCTTCTCTGTGTCTGTGCATATGTGTGTGTCTGGGCATGGCGCTCCAGCTCTCCTCTGACCAATCTTCTCTGCACCTGTGATCACCTGTACACCTGAGGCTCATTCCCATAATCAAGCTCCCTGCATTTAAAGCGCAGTCCTTAACTCCAGCCTTTACCAGATTGTTATCAATCGTGGTATTGCATTGTGGCTCCTACCAAACTAGTGAGTGATTTTTGCTTCTCTGAGACATTTTTGGTTCGTAATTTTTTTTGTCTATGCTCCAGATTCTCGCCACCCTTGGAGAACTGTGCCTCCCTGCCTTGGTTCCTTTTCCAGTGTGCTCAGCTTCTTGCACAGCTCTCGCCGTTTTCCAACCTCGCAGAAGAACTAGAAGCAAGACTCTGTATTTTGCACGTTCTTAGCTGTTGTCAAGAAATTGGACAGCAACTTTTACTTCCTCTCCCTGTCCGTGTTTTGCACTTAGGTCCTAGAATTCCTTACGCTACAACAAAGACACTGCAATTGTTTTTGACTTGCATCAGCTATATCTAATGGGCAGTCAAGAAAGCTCACACAGGCTTTCTACATCAACAAAAGCACAACTAACAAATGCGTATCTTGAAACCTGAAGAACTCAACTCACTACGTTAAATGTGTCTGCCTTGAACTTACAAGTACATTCCTGGTTATAAAGCTGAAGGTTGCGGCCAGCTTAATACTTTCCACTCTGAGATAGAAGAAATCAATCAGATTATGAATATATCACACAATTCAAGACGTAGAGATACTGTAGAGTAGGTATGCTATTATATGCTGCCAAAAAGGTTTTTGCATTGGAGTAGTCTCTACATAGTAATGTAAATGACAAATGGTCCCAGCAGATTTCCCTCTTGTGTTTTTTTTTAAAATAATGTTGTGTGTATATAAGAGATTTTGTTCTGATACACACGTTGAATTTTTTTCGACACTCTCATGGCTAACAAGGAAACAAAAGGACAGCAAAATCAGAGATCTGTATTTCTATGCCTTAGAGCTGTGTAACAGGAGCTTTTGTGTGATCGGTTGAGGAATTTCAAGGATTCTTTTTGATTACCCAACTGCAGGTCTGAGAGGAAGCGATCAGAGCTCACAGTCCCAACAGCACATAGGAGCTGCTTGAAACGCCAGGAGCTGCTAGTTCTTACTCCGGTGTACAGACAAAGGGGTAAAAGGTAAGAACAAAGCAGAACTTGATCATGGCCCCCATCATTAAAGCTCATTTAGACATTTGACTCAAAATTTATAGCTTTTTATAGACCATATCATTCTAGTTTTCTAATTTGAAAAGGAGTCAGAAAAATTAAATTTCTTTAAGAGTGTTATACCAAAAATAAAACAACAAAAAAAAATCTAGACGGTAGAACAAAAATCCTAAGGGATTTTCCTTCCAGCTACCCAAAACACAGCCCTGTTTGATGTGTGAAATATGATGAAACTAGTGTTATCTTTCAAATCAATGCATTAATTAATACGTAACAGCAAAAATAGAAAGCGATAGAAACCTCAGTGATTTTATTTCAGTGTAGTTTGAACTGCAGTTGCTGGGGGTTAATGTTCACCCAGTGTGAAATATCATGAGCCATATCCAGATTTATGTAAACAATCAGGGTAAGAGCTTAATTATGCGGCCAGAATGCCTAGACTTTATGGAACTAAGTAAATCAACATAGATGACTGAAAAAGAACCTATCCAGCTGTACCATGAATTCCTTCTTTACTCCTCATTTCCCCTGTTTGTTTTCCTGTCTTGTATCATGTCATATCTCTCTCTCTTCATAGACAGAGGGCTGTCTGTTTCCTGATATGTGAGGCAGCACATGTCCAACAAGAGGTGGGTCCAACTGAAATGACTCCTGAAATATCCATCAGCATAAATTACATCTTTGGTAGTGCTGATTCCCTCTTTTGGACTAATGAAGTTATATGCCCCTGCACAACTACCAAGACGCCTGCTAATGTCTTTTAATTTGCAAAGATAATTGCAACACGGTTCCACTTAAAAATCTATACATGCCAGGAAATGAAGCTAAAACCGACCAATCCACATGGGTAATTGTTTCTCCCTTAGATTCTCTAATGTATAGCTGCATATCAAGGGTCTAATGACACCAATCAAATGATATATGCACTAATGAAGCAGTCAGGGTTGACATGGCATGTGCAAAGGTTATAAAATAAGGATTTGTGCAACTACTTATGAATACTAATCTGCTTATCATTGTTTCTATCTAGCACCTTGTTTGGCAAATGCCAACATTTGCATTTGGTGCCTAAAGGTGCTAGAAAACCAGGCTAGGCTATGCCCCAACATTTGCAAGAAGCCAATGTAACACAGACTGAGAACAGAACATGTTGTGCGTGTTGTTATCTTAAGGTTAGAGGCACACAGATGCACGCATGCTCACTCATATGCATTCAGGGCGAGTAAGAGAAACAATAGAGGAGCAGGCTGTAGTAGACTTGGTGGCAAGGAAAGTCTAGACATAATGAGTTTAATAACGTACAATGTTCATTAAAACATAGCTCACAGCCTCTCCGGAGGTGTCACTCCTGTCAGATTAGTGGTGCTGAGAGATGGCTGGTGCTGAGTGGAAGCAGCCCATATGGTCTGTCTGCTTGACAACACTGTGACCCACAACAGATGTGCTGTTTTTCCTCTCCCCTGATGTTAGGATCAGCTTCTTTGTCACACCTGTGCTTTCTCCCAAGCCACACAATAACATCAACAAATGAGACTGCTGGATTTGCCCTCTGAGTCAACAAAGGATTCTGGGCAGCCACAAAATACATTTTGACTTTATTAGGAAGACTGGCTTCCTTTTGGGCATTATTAGAACAGTGGTAACCTAAAGACAAAGATTAATTATTCCTGTGTGATGTTTGCATGCTAATGTCCAGGATGTGACTTTGGACTGGTTTTTAAAACCAGGATGTGGATGTCACTATTTGTGGATGTCACTATCCCCGTCTCCTAGAAATTAGATCCATAGAATAACTAATTTGTTATGCTGAATAATTCACTGGTAATTTATTTTCTAGTCAAAAAGCAGTGCGTGCGTGTGGTGTGTGTGTGGTACGGTTGTCACAAAGAGATAATTGTGACTACCATTGTGCCAGGCAGTGTAAAGTGTTTGTAAAATGTTCCTGCTTAGTGTATATATTTCAAAACAAGTACTGGCAAATTATTAGTATGAGTGTAATTTATAGGAGACAAGGTTACTATTTAGACCTGTTATCTGGTTGTCCAGATAGTTGGCCTTCCAACAAAAATGTTACTTTGTCACCAAGACATTTTATGGGTAGATTTTGCTTTTTAACTATGTGTGAGTGGCAATTTATAGGGTTATCCAGCCACTTCTGCCAACACTATATGAAATATGCATAAGCTGTCTGGATAGCTGGACGGAAAGCAATTTCTTCAGAACATATAAAGCGCCAATGATCAGTTGCAATATGGACACTCCCATGACAAATGCTATTCTGCTTTCTAGCAGCCATAAAGCTTGTAAATTAGGTCATGTACTACATATGAATGCTACATCTCATTATTAAACCTCCCATCAGGCAGTGTCATTTATCCCCTCATACATATGTGCATCACAGGTATTAAAGAAAATTTGTCAATGTGAAGCATGACACACAGCAGTGATACTAGAGCCGCCAATATTTGTCAGACGTGTATATACTGGAGGTCTGTACATGTCTACTTTTTATGCATGTAACTGTCTATCTTAAGTAGCAGCTGTCTGCTCTCGCTAATCCTTCTGCTTGATTTAAATGTCAATACCTCCTTCATATGTGCACAAGCATAAATCTGTATGGGCAGAGTGGGTGGTAGTGACATCACGGGGGGGGCAAGGGGTGAACGGATCTCGACAGGCGCTCACTACAGCAAAGGATGCTCCAGTAGACCAGTGGCAGTAACAGCAAGGTGCAAAGATGTTAATGCATGTCCCCTGGTGCCATCTGGAAGAAGCAGGGTAGCTATGTATTTATCACCTGAAGGTTCATTCACCATCCTCAATTACACACCCATCTTTGGTGGTCTCTCACCGGATGAAACCTTGAACGAGATGCCGTGAACTTGATGTTGACTGCATTCGAGGCCTGCTAGCATGGTTTTTCAATAAATAGGGGAAACTAGAAACTAGGATGAATAATGGATGACCTAGGGTGCAAACACATAGATTAATGTGAGGTGGAGGAGGGAGGGTGCCAGGGAGGATGCAACTCTATTGGGGTGTTGCCCTGTGAAGTGGCTAGAGGGCTGAGATTCATGATGTCTTGTTAGAAGTGTGCAGACAAATGATTGTTTCCCTGTGCATGTGGGACATACTTTTTGGGCTAGCTCACATTCAGCAGAGAAACAGGAAACATGGGCGCTCTTCTGTCATTTCCTCACTGCAGAGATGTAATTTCTGGGATCACTTAAATATTTGAAGTCCAGATGTGATGAGATCAGAACTCTGCTGCCCGCTCCAGTCTTGAATTTTTTGTGTCTTAGTGAAACATAATTGCAGGATTAAGTATGATTGACGTCCCTGGATATAAGTGTTTTAAAAATGATAGAGCTGTGGGTAGAGATGGGGGGGGGGGGAGTGCTGCTCACAGACTCGTGTCAGAGTTTGGTCCTCAGTCCTCATCCTCAGCCCTCTGCATAACTCTTTCTTTCTGACCTGTCTCTCATGCCATGTTCTTTCACTCCACTCTCCAGACTTGCCATCCCATTTCTCTTGTCCCCATGCATGGAATTCAGTATTCTGTTAGTGTATATCCCCTCCCCCCTCCCCCCTCCGGGGTTTTGCTGTAATGTTCTGTGAGAATCTAGAAGAATTGTTTTAAAAGCTTCAAACGCAATTGTGAGGCGCTTGTCCTTGGTGATTGTAATGTAAATGGTTGAACAAACACTGTAGAGGGAAAAAAAACAACATTGATTTTACATCAAAATTTGATTTCCATCATGTGATTGACGGGCTCACTCGCCTAACCAGGAATACTCAAACACAAATAGATTTAGTATTTGCAAAACAGAAACAACAGAAAGATAATTTTGTGGTGATATGATACTAATTGTAAGAAAACTTGCAAAGAAATGTCTAGTATCAAGTATTCCTGAATTTGAAAATGAATAAATGAGTTAGCTGGGAGGAGATTCTACAACATTAATTTAACGCTGTAATGTCCAGCATTTGACATATTGTGGACAAGTTTATTAAACAATGCTAAAAGCCACAGAGAAAAATACAGTGGCTAAGTGACACCGGACATCAGTTAATGAAGCAAAGAGATTATGCCCTAAAGACCTTCTGTCACAGTTTGTCAAACGAGGAAAGAGGAACTGAAGGGAGTAGACACAGACACCGAGGTAGAGCAGGTTCAGTTCAATGGTTTTAATAATGAAATAAGAGTCCACTGGCTTACAGCAAGGTGAGGCGGGCAAAGGTCCAAACCAAGCAGACAGTCCAAAGGCAAACAAACCCAAAACAGAGCAGGCGATAAACAAAAGGGTAAGTGTCCCGGGAGCTTAAACAATGGAGCTGGTGATCTTAGGCAGATGGCCAGAGGGCTGGACAGGGGCGGAGCAGGAGTCCTCAGGTGGACGACCTTGGGTCAGAAGAAAAGTGGAGTGGCGGCAAAGGTGGTTCCCTTTAGGAGGCCGGCGAGTAAGGCAGAACCCCTCTAGAGGTCGAGCTGGAGGCAGGCAGCAAAGGCAGGACCCCTCTGAAGGCTGGACATGGAAATCAGGACCAGAGTCTGGTGGCTACAGTGCAGTAGCAGAGCAGTAACAGTGCAGTAACCAGAGACCAGCAGCTGGAAATCTGAGCAGGATACCAGTGACAGGGAACCAGGAGCAAGTGTCTGCTGGGCCAACAATGAGGAGCAGGGAGTAGGTGCTGGCAGGACTACCAACTAGAAGCAAGGAGCAGGAGTCCGCCTGGAAACCGGACAGGACTGGTGGTACTTCTGTGGTACAGGGCAACTGAGTCTCTGGGGCACTGGCCAGTATACCGTAAATTACAAAATCTTAATTTCAAAACTGTTCAGTTTGTCAAAATAGTCACTGTCTTGGTTTGACTCATATTTAAAGGTTTGTGAACAGTGTTTCCTAACGTGATTATTTGATTAATAACGTCAAGTCTTTTATTTATTTATTTTTTTACAAAATTGAAACTTGATTGAATTGTCTAGGGTCCCATCCTTTTCAGATTGTATATTTAGTGACCTTTCAGAAATATGCCCTAGTACAGATGTTCAGATTTATGCTACGACATTCATGTATCTAGCAAAAACTGTGAAGCTAACCAAAATCAGATTGGCTTGATCCCTCCTGTTTGACCACTAAGAAAACAAAATATATCTCTTTTTTTTTTTACCATTAAAAAGCTACCTGCAACAGAATCTTTGATCAAGTAACAGAAATACTAAGGGATCATTTTAGATTCTCAGTTAAATTTTAAAAGATATTTGAGTAAAGTGGCAATTGTCAATTTCCATTCTGCAAAACCTCTTTTGCTCAGATAGCTTTTTCTGTGAAAGGAGCAAGTCCTGGAACTTGAAATTTGCAGCAAACTTTTAAGAGATCTGCCAATTCCTGTACTCATGTCTAGTTTTTAAACTTAGCTTTCTTTAAGTAAATGTGCTTTAATGTATTTTGCTGTGTTCAGTTTACATGTTTACCTCGCTGTTTTAATCTTTTATTTTCATTAAAGCTGTTCTAGGGACAAGAGTTGCATGCTAGCATCCGCTATAAACACTATGATGCTTTCAGTCTGTCTATGTATACTGTATCTGTTTCTATCAAATAAACCATAAGTAATTTTCCTCTTCCTCACAGGTGGTCTATTGTTTGAGAAGGGAATAGGAGCGAGCTGTGTTTGTTTGAAGTATTATTTTTCATCAAAGTATCTCATAACATATTCTCCACCCTCAGTTTGATGTGCCAAGTTTATAGCAGTCTGCTGGATCTTGTAAGGATTATCACTCACTACGCCACATTGAAAGTAAGGAATAAATACCAATTAGTGTGTTTTTTGAGGAGAGACCATACTTAGAGGGTGGTTTCCAAATCAATAACCTTGTTAACTGAGCAACAGCAGCGCAGTGTTGCACCTCTCTGCGCTTGGAATTAGAGATTGGTAGCATACGTGCAATCATGATGGAGAAAATAAAAAGACAAAAATCTCTTCAGGCCATGACATTGATTAACCATGTCATGTTGTGGATGAAAGCGAGGCCGACACATGGAATAAATGTAAATTAGCAGATTTCACTGGGGGGAAATTATGTAGAAAAGTGCCTTTAAAACATCTGAAGCAGAGTTTGTTGTTGCAGACCTTTTGCATTCCCTCCCTGTGGATAATAACATTAACACAAGTTAAAATGTCACACAAAGGGGGAGTTCTGGTGGCTCAGTGGTCTCAGGCACAAACTATAATCACGTAACTGCAAAATCCTGGGCATGAATCCAGCCAAGGACCTTAATCATGGGTCATCTTGCTCTCTTTTCAAATATTTCCCATTGATCTTATCTGATAATCATCTAAGAAAGGCAAAAACACATCTAACTATTTTCTAATTTAGACTTTTTCCTATACATTGGCTAAGGGGATAACAAAATTAAAGGTAAAAGAAGTAGCCTACTCAAATAATTTACTTATGGAGAAATGATGGTTTCTTACAACCCGGGTCTCATTTTCATTGCTTTGGCCACCACGCTATCATTACATTAACCAGTGTGCCCTATAAGTAGTGAGGCAGAGAATCCAGTATGAGATTAGGGTGGCGGATAGGCAAGGAGATCAGACTTTCATACAAGAGATTGGAATTTGCATCCCGTCATCATTCTGCAAATAATGTTGTCACAAAGTTGCAATTTACTTTGCCGCAATCTTCCCCTTACCATATAACCTGACCCAACATGTCTTATTTGCTTACCCTTACTGTAACTAAACCATATTATTTTTGCCATAACCACCTTTGTTCTCTAACCTTAAGCAAACCATACTTGCCGTTACCTACTTACTGTTTAAACAGAACCCGATGCTAGCC